TTAAATCATTTTGTTTGAAGTTCTTTCGATATGGATCATAACATTAGTGTTTTAACACATTTAAAAGTGTGTAATTATGTAATGTTTATGTTATTATTGAAATAAAAATATGAGCTTCCTGTAGTCCTTCTCCATATAAACTTTAATTATACAATATCACACAATCCTCCGCGTAGAAATTGCGCCGACAAAGAACATTTATATTGCAAGACAAACGATGTAACTTTGAAAAATTTTTATTAACAAAAAATATATCTACAAAACAACTTATAGTGTAATAATGTACTTACCTAGGAACTGAAGTAACATAAAACCAATTGCTCGTCCTCATGGAACCTCCACTCCGTTACATAGAAAGTGATACTTATTCTTAATAAAGTCTTCGCTTAGCAAAGTTCGCTAAGTTCTTCGCTAAGTTTGGGCTTGTGAAATATATCGTATTTCAAGGTAGGTACTTACATGCTACATGCTTGATTCTAGCCGATGAAAACAATAATGCCCTTTCAATATATTACCTACTACGAAAAATTTAACTTATATAAAAAATCTCGTGTCACACAAAATTTATAACAAAACTCCACCGAAACGGCTTGACAGATTCTTATAAAGTTTTAGTGTGTATATTCAGTAAGTAAATAAAATATTTTTCATACCCCTAAGTGATAAGGGTGGTCCACCCCAACGATTTACTTTTTAATTTTTGGACAAAAGTTTTTTTTATATGGAATTCCGCAATTTGACACCTAGTGCCTATTTTGCGTGGCGATTGGCATCAGTCCTGCCATCCCAGCTCCAGAAAGCTCAGCAGTCCCCGGATGTTGCTGCAGGTCTCTACTGGTGTCCGCGGGCTTCCCATTAGAGAAGTCCTTTGTTTTGCAACGCCCCCGCACACCAGTAGAACATGGGCGCTCGTCTCATCCTCCTCCAGGCAGACTCTGCACAGAGGGCCATCAGAAATACCTATATTCCAAAGGTGTTTGTTGAAGTAGTCACCTTTTTTTTTCATTTATTTGATAATATAAACAAAATACAGTAATTAATAAAAAAGGACCACAAAACCCCACATTGGGTTTGTGTGAATTCTGAGTCACTTAAGCTGTCAATACATAGTTTGATATTCGTAAATAATATACTTTTCCAGTTGATTATAATTAATATAGCTAACCATGACATTAAGGCCTGTATTATAGAAAGATTCTCAGTGATTGATCTAGTCTTGAGCATAGTTAGAAAGGGATGTCGCTGTATATAGGTCATAGTGATATCCCTTTCTAACTATACTCAAGTAATGATCGACACTTAGTTGTCATTCTGTTATACGGACCTATCAGAAATACTGGAAAGCCAAAATAAACCATGGAATTACACTGTTACTTCTCATTCATATCTTATTAATTAAGTTAAACATTCTATTTACTACACAATTAACATAATATTACAATGTCAATTTATATTTTAACCTGCCTAAAAGTTATTATGCGTTATAGATAATAATACATCATTATCATCATCAGCCTATTAATGACCCCAATGCTGGGACACAGTCCTTCCCTATGGATGGAATAGGAAGATTGGGCCGTGACCCGCCACGCGGGCCCAGTGCGGATTGGCGGATAATAATACATATACAGCGCAAATAGGCAATACACAACAATTTCCATCAGATCATTTAATTTTAAAATTTTACAAAGAAGGTAATTGTATAAATGTTATAACGTTTACCCGCCAATATCTAATAAAACACGATAAGCCGTACACAGGTACGATGCTAGTTGTCAGTTTGCATAATATATACCTATGGATGGTAAGTAAAAACAGATGACATTGAAATATGGCAGCCATGCATCACATTCATACGGATTATCGATCTATGATGATGATCTACGATGACGAGACGACACTAGAAATGTACACTATGCTTACGTTTCAGTAAATCAAATTCTCTGATAAGATCGTCTCTAGCTATTTTTGGTCTAAAGTAATGAAGGTTACCAAATTAACACGCAAATTGTTGTTTACGTAAGTAAAAGCGACAGACACAAATTGCTTTTTATATAGCTACAGAGAGCCTCACTTAGAGTCAAGCTGGGAGCTATATTTTTTTAATTTTTAAGCATGTAACTTCTAAATCTAAAGAAAAATTTACTGGAAAATGCTGGGAGCTACTTAGGGCACCTACCGAGGCGCGTGTTTGCAGCGTAACACACTGCTATAGTGCTCCTATATTAACAGATGGCGCGTAGATTTATAGTGTGTTTCGTAGTGCCATGTCCTACTTTGCGGCACTAAAACCTTATAAGTTAGAGCAATATGGACGACATTGGCAATCACCCTACATCGAAAGTCATCTGCCGTTGCCAGGCAAGTTCGTTAGTACTGTGAGACATCTCATACGCACGATCACAGAACACAGAAAAAGGTTAGAACCCTTGATCATAGACTGTTTGTACGCGAAACGTTGTCGCCGGCTCGCCCCCACTACATTTGCATCAATAGATAATAGCCAACAAAACGCCGCGACATCAAATAATCGTTCCAATCAGTGCTCACAGCCGAGAGTAACCACACAACCAAGTTTTGTTCAAGTTATGAGCATTTGCTTTCACATAACCTGTGGCGCGACTGCCCCGCCCACAAGGCCCTTCTTACCTCTGTGTTCTGTGCGTACGATAGGGCAGTATTATACTTTCACCACTGTTGTTGCATGGCTTCAAGAAACCATAATAATATGGCCACTGTAAAAGCCTGCGCAGACAAGGGACTTTAGTCACACTATTAATTAAAGGTCCAGCGTACAAAAAGTCCCGTGTACAAAAAGTCCCCCGAACAACTAGAGACACATTGAAACCGGACTGGACAAAAGTACGCGGGTGTCGCCGAAAAAAATAGAACTCGTTTGGCTAGGCGCAGCAACCCACACAGCGAACATTTAATCGGCGTAATATTCTCCTTCAAAACGTCTCTCTTTTTCTTTAATTTCATGTAAACACAGCTTAATTTGAGAACTTCCATAGCGTCCGCGTCCTAAAATTTCGGGCAACAAATGTTCGCACACCGTGTTCGTTGGTGCCGTTCGTTTTTTCACGATTGAAGGACTTTTCAATTCCATTAAACTCCCTATTCTGTCCATAGGGAAGGCCTGTGCCCCAGCAGTGGGGACATTAATAGGCTGATTATGATGATGATGGACTTTTGTCCTCAGCAGACAAGTCTCTCTCATCTACGCAGACCATTATAGTGCGTGTCAAAATATATGGTAGTTGTGAAGTTAGCAACGAGAGCAGCTATACGCAGGTTCAGTTCATTGACATCCTGAATGCACCTCTCCATCATTCTAGATTTAATTATTGCGCTGTGACTTGCGTGAACTTCACAACCGCTTATATTGAACTATGGCTAGGCGAGTAGCAGCTTGCCTTGTTATATTTTATTTACTATGATTTTCGCGGGTAAAACATCATTACACTTATCTTAACTGTTGTTATCTCAAACCCTTTCTTGGACAATGCGAAAAACAAAAGCTGCTATCAGTTGTATCACCCTAAGCAGCGAGGCCGAAACCTTTTCCAATCAAATAGAAGATATTTGGGTCACGGTAATACCCTTTTTAAGGGGCTGGCGACAAAATTTATAAACAAGGCCAAGAACGAATCAAAACGCGTGCACGAATCAAAACAACTAAGTAGCCATTGTTTTATTTACTTTGATAAATTTTACATTCATGGCGCTACTTAAAGTACTTTCTTTTTCCTAAAGATATTAGTAAATTTTATTAGTCGAAAATGGTCTTTCTTTTGGTAGTCGCGGACTCTGGTTACGGACTCTCATCCTGGTCTGGAATCACTTATATCCTATACATATATGCCATTTGTGATTCGAAGAAAAGAGACAAAAACACAGCGTAGTAGTCCCATCTTATTGCTCCTTTAATTTAAAAGGCGTCCGTTTAGCAACCTTCTCTAAAGGCTCGATGATACGGGGCATGTTTACAAGCTACAAGCCACCGAGTTCGTTAGTATGATACGGGGCGAGTTTACAAGCTACAAGCCAGCGAGTTCGTTAGTATGATACGGGGCGAGTTTACAAGCTACAAGCCAGCGAGTTCGTTAGTATGATACGGGGCGAGTTTACAAGCTACAAGCCAGCGAGTTCGTTAGTATGATACGGGGCGAGTTTACAAGCTACAAGCCAGCGAGTTCGTTAGTATGATACGGGGCGAGTTTACAAGCTACAAGCCAGCGAGTTCGTTAGTATGATATGGGGCGAGTTTACAAGCTCCAAGCCAGCGAGTTCGTTAGTATGATACGGGGCGAGTTTACAAGCTACAACCACCGAGTTCGTTAGTATGATACGGGGCGAGTTTACAAGCTACAAGCCAGCGAGTTCGTTAGTATGATATGGGGCGAGTTTACAAGCTCCAAGCCAGCGAGTTCGTTAGTATGATACGGGGCGAGTTTACAAGCTCCAAGCCAGCGAGTTCGTTAGTATGATACGGGGCGAGTTTACAAGCTACAACCACCGAGTTCGTTAGTAGCTTGTAAACTCGCCCCGTATCATCGAGTAGCAGATGGTACAAAAGTCGTTGACACGGGGCGAGTTTACAAGCTACTAGCAAACTCGCTGGCTTGTAGTTTGTAAACTTGCACCGTGTCATCGAGGCTTTAGTAGAAGGATTGCAAGGCCACTTTATTTCTCACCTGTTTACTTTGTGCGGTTTTCTCCGATTTCACCTAGAGAAAAGATGGATTACGTACAGACAATAAGCATTTAATTTAGTACACTTGTACGTTCACAACAACTTATTTCTCTAATTGCTTAACGGTAGTCGGTGTTAAATCTTTATTATCCTCGAAATAACATAACAGTGTTAAATCTTTATTTTTTTCTAAATTGCCTAACGACGTTACAACTAGTATATTATATTCTTAATTTCTTAACGGTGTTAAAACTTTGTTATCTTCCAAATTACTGTCATTAATATATTTTGTTTGTTTAAATAGTGCGCGCGAGTGATGAGCCAGCGCACGCGCTGATGCTCTGCGGGGCCATCTGGAGCGCCGCGCCGGTGTCCCTGCGCGGCCTGGCACCCCCCTTGCCGGCGCAGCCTGCCCTGCTCGCCGCGCTCGTCATGCACGCACTGCATGATCACCGCGTCGACGACGACTCCAGCTTCATAGGTGAGTGAGGTAGCTGTACGCTCATTGTATACAGCCTGGCGCCCCCCTCCAGCTTCATAGGTGAGTATGATAGTTGTACGCTCGTTGTATAGAGCCTGGCGCCCCTCCTCCAGCTTCGTAGATGAGTGTGCTAGCTGTAAGCTCGTTGTATGGAGCCTGGCGCCTCCCTCCAGCTTCATAGGTGAGTGTGTTAGCTATACGCTCGTTGTATGGAGCCTGGCGCCTCCCTCCAGCTTCATAGGTGAGTGTACTAGCTGTACGCTCGTTGTATGGAGCCTGGCGCCTCCCTCCAGCTTCATAGGTGAGTGTGTTAGCTATACGTTCGTTGTATGGAGCCTGGCGCCTCCGCCCAGCTTCATAGGTGAGTGTGCTAGCTGTACGCTCGTTGTATGGAGCCTGGCGCCTCCCTCCAGCTTCATAGGTGAGTGTGTTAGCTATACGCTCGTTGTATGGAGCCTGGCGCCTCCCTCCAGCTTCATAGGTGAGTGTGTTAGCTATACGCTCGTTGTATGGAGCCTGGCGCCTCCCTCCAGCTTCATAGGTGAGTGTGTTAGCTATACGCTCGTTGTATGGAGCCTGGCGCCTCCGCCCAGCTTCATAGGTGAGTGTGTTAGCTATACGCTCGTTGTATGGAGCCTGGCGCCTCCCTCCAGCTTCATAGGTGAGTGTGTTAGCTATACGCTCGTTGTATGGAGCCTGGCGCCTCCCTCCAGCTTCATAGGTGAGTGTGTTAGCTATACGCTCGTTGTATGGAGCCTGGCGCCTCCCTCCAGCTTCATAGGTGAGTATGTTAGCTATACGTTCGTTGTATGGAGCCTGGCGCCTCCGCCCAGCTTCATAGGTGAGTGTGTTAGCTATACGCTCGTTGTATGGAGCCTGGCGCCTCCCTCCAGCTTCATAGGTGAGTGTGTTAGCTATACGCTCGTTGTATGGAGCCTGGCGCCTCCCTCCAGCTCCATAGGTAAGTGTGTTAGCTATACGCTCGTTGTATGGAGCCTGGCGCCTCCCTCCAGCTTCATAGGTGAGTGTGTTAGCTAAACGCTCGTTGTATGGAGCCTGGCGCCTCCGCCCAGCTTCATAGGTGAGTGTGTTAGCTATACGCTCGTTGTATGGAGCCTGGCGCCTCTATCCAGCTTCATAGGTGAGTGTGTTAGCTATACGCTCGTTGTATGGAGCCTGGCGCCTCCCTCCAGCTTCATAGGTGAGTGTGTTAGCTATACGCTCGTTGTATGGAGCCTGGCGCCTCCCTCCAGCTTCATAGGTGAGTGTGTTAGCTATACGCTCGTTGTATGGAGCCTGGCGCCTCCCTCCAGCTTCATAGGTGAGTGTGTTAGCTATACGCTCGTTGTATGGAGCCTGGCGCCTCCCTCCAGCTTCATAGGTGAGTGTGTTAGCTATACGCTCGTTGTATGGAGCCTGGCGCCTCCGCCCAGCTTCATAGGTGAGTGTGTTAGCTATACGCTCGTTGTATGGAGCCTGGCGCCTCCCTCCAGCTTCATAGGTGAGTGTGTTAGCTATACGCTCGTTGTATGGAGCCTGGCGCCTCCGCCCAGCTTCATAGGTGAGTGTGTTAGCTATACGTTCGTTGTATGGAGCCTGGCGCCTCCCTCCAGCTTCATAGGTGAGTGTGTTAGCTATACGTTCGTTGTATGGAGCCTGGCGCCTCCCTCCAGCTGCATAGGTGAGTGTGTTAGCTATACGCTCGTTGTATGGAGCCTGGCACCTCCCTCCAGCTTCATAGGTGAGTGTGTTAGCTATACGCTCGTTGTATGGAGCCTGGCGCCTCCGCCCAGCTTCATAGGTGAGTGTGTTAGCTATACGCTCGTTGTATGGAGCCTGGCGCCTCCCTTAAGCTTCATAGGTGAGTGAGTTAGCTATACGCTCGTTATATGGAGCCTGGCGCCTCTATCCAGCTTCATAGGTGAGTATGCTAGCTGTAAGCTAGTTGTATAGAGATAGAAAAAATCACATCATTATTATACTTCGATTTATGTAAGTAGGTTTGTAGGATTCATTGGCCCCATTTTATCTATTTAACATATAACTTTTTCGTATTTTTGTGGCTGACAGAATGATTACTTTCAGTTTTAGCAGAAAGGATAAGCCGACAATCTCTTTATAATGATGGATTGGTCATTTAATTCCTATAGACGGTTAGCTTTTAGGGTTATGCCGAAGAAGGAGTGAATTAAAGAATGTATTAAAATTGTACATTAATTGAACTTTCAACTAAAACTAGCTTAAACCCACAGAAAACTGCTAAAACGTCAATCTCAATTTGACAATATTGTACGGGTTGAATCTAGTTTTAGTTGCATCGAGATTTAGCGAATTTGCTGCAATTGGACCCAAATCTTGTTTTAGAGAAATTAATCTTGGTTTAGCAAAATTGCTGCAAGTGTACCAATTAAATTAGCGGACGAACTCCATTGGTGTATTCCATTATATTTATATTTGCTGTAATACCTTTAAAACTTTATCATCACATATGACCCGATTTTAATTTACGGCATTAATACATAACATCGAAAGCAATCGCACATTTCAATCACTACACCCACCGCCGTGACATCGTCTAACTAAACAAAATAATAATATCAATGAATGGAACCGAAATTATTATCAAAACGATGTTAACCGATAAAGTCAGTCACAGACGTAGCTTATCGAGATATACATTTTAATATAGCAAAATACCACAGACGGGAGCTGTACTATAATGTATATTTTAATATATATTTTAATTTATTTTGGCAGGCGTTCGGTGAAAAATGGAACAATCCGTATCATAAAAATATATACTAATATGCCAAAATATACCAAGATATATTTGTTTCTTAGGTTTTCACGCACATCACTCATTAAATAAAACTAGTTTTAACGGGCTAATGCACGAAACTTTATTTATTTATTGACGTTTCGCAGCCTTTTCAGGTCTGCTTCGTCAGAATCAGTCAGTATTCTGACTGAAAAGGCTGCGAAACGTCAATAAATAAATAAAGTTTCGTGCATTAACCCGTTAAAACTAGTTTCATTTAATACCAAGATATATTTGTCGACATATTTTGGTGACGAAATGGGAATTATAGCTGCGTCTGCGGTCACTCGAGAATTTATATTGAAAATATTATGTTGTAATATGTCTTGCTATGATTCATATTAATATATATTACAGCAACGTCTACGACGGGCTTAAAGCGGCAACCCTGTACTGTACCACCGAAATAGTACCACTAGTCACGCGAGCAGCCCTATCTGCAGACATCATGGCGCCACCCCCCTGCCCCCCTTTAATAAACCCCCGCAGTCGCCCTGCTTTGGTGCATTGTTCAAAACCTCCTAATAGGCCATACCCTCCTAGTACTTTTTATTTCGTTTGTTTGATATAACAATCCGGCTTTTATCTAATTGAGTACCTATTAGTTTTTTTTTACTTTCAAACTTGTTGCGTTAATAAGCTTAATGAACGCATAGGAATAATGGGGCTAGTTATATGTATTAGATTCGGCGTTTTAACATCGTTTTTTGTGCCGCCATAACTGATACTACTTTAAACACGGTATTTTTTAATGTACATTACTTCATTATGCTACTGTACAAACAAAGAAGTAGAAATCACACTTATATTATAAAGGCGAAAGTTTGTGAGTGTGTATGTTTGTTACTTCTTCACATCTAAACGGTTGGATCGATTTTAATAAAATTTGGTATGGAGTTAGCTGACACCCTGGATTAACACATAGGCTACGTTTTACTGCGGGAAAATATCCCTAATTAACCGCGGAGCACATACTCGTATGTATGTATTAAATTTAAGCTTTCAGCTGGACTGACAGAAAGCTAAAGATAAAATACTTCAACTATGCCACGGAAGCGTCTGGCTTCTGTCTAAAGAGCTTGGGTTCGAGTCCCGATAGAAAATGAATAAGCATATTTTTATTTACGAACCATGGTAGTTTTTATGCTGCACTGTGTGTCGAATTCATCGGGTTGCCGTTATAAAGATTCTGGGGTAGATTTCTCATCGTATTAATGTTGAAAACAATCATTTTTATCTATAATGGCGCGATTACACTTGGACGTTAGCTCGAATACGAGTTCGAATTCGGGTAAACGATCGGATTCGAGTAGTTTTCCTTTTGTTTACCCGACTCCGTCTTCCAGCCCATATTTCAATGTGTCCGGGTGTCCGAACTCGAGTAATGTCTTTCATGCACTCGATTACGGGCTAACGACTTAATGTAATTGCGGCATAACAGTAGTGACTTTGACGATTCGAAATGAAATGAAAATTGTACTTAATTCATTAAACTACAACGTCAAACCCGGTCTAATGGTGTCACAATTCTTTGCTTAATAGCAGAAAGATACAATGTCAGGCCCAAGCCATATATGATTTAAGTCCACGTTTAATAAAGTGGTTAATGTTTTGCTGCAACATTTTCTCATTACTAGAGGTGCCCTGCGGTTTCACCCACATAGTTTGAAGAACAAGGTCATAGAGGGTCACCCTTAAAAGGTAGACAATTCTGTTGCGGACTTTTTTGAAGAACTTTTAGAGGGGAACAATTCCTTTATACGTGATTTTTGTGTATCAAAATATATTTCGCGTTTTTGCAAACATTTTCATTGGTGCCCCGCTCAATAAATCTATATAAAACACTTTATTTATTTATTTAAGGACAACCAACAAGAATATCTACGCATAGTATAGTATAACAATAGTTTATAAGTGACAATTCAAACGGTAACTTAATTATAGGCTGCCACGGCATGCATTTGTGACAATAATGACAGAGTGTGCATTCTTAACAAAATTATAAAAAGAAATAATTATGCATAATATTCACAAACATTTTGTTGTTACATTGAACATATCCAATACGACAGAACAATTGTGCAGCAAGAAATCAGGAGATACTACAAAATTAATAATACAATGCTTATTATGCTAAGCCGGAGCAAAATTTTAACTTTACACTTAAATAAAATAAGCCGTTGTGTTTTATATTATTATAGCATATCTTTCTTCGCTCCATTCACTATTCAACACTAAAAAAATATTCAAATCGGCCAGTAGTTCCTGAGATTATCGTTTTCAACCATACGAACAAACTTCAGCTTTATAATTTATAATATTAAGTATATATTGTTATACATTTATTTTAATGACTTATCGTGTTATGTATGATGGCTATTGTTGCAGTAGAAATCACTTGTCAGAAAACCTTGATCAAGGCCGTTCGTTCATTCAGATAACACCTACATTATGTTACACTAAAATAAAGCTTAGCTCACACTGCACTAACAGTAAACCCAAGTTTAAGAGGCGCCCGTCTAAACTTATATTCGCCGTACAATAACACTACCTTTTGGTAGTGTTAGTAAGTTTCCAAAGCTCTACACCAAAGTTAAAATTTAAACAGGTACATTCTACATCTTTTTGGCTTTCAAATATTCACAAAAATTTAATGATTTGTTAAACATAATTAAGCCGTAACTTGAACTAAGAATATATATATTTGTAAATAAATCAACGGAAATACTTAAAATTTGTCATTATTTGGTTGATTGCCCAAAGAAAAAATATGTGTCCATTATTTTTTGATCATCTAACTGACGGACTAAATAGAATTTCGTTTACTGTACCCCGTCACCCCTATTATTGTCACGTTTTGTTCGCCAGCTCCTCATACATTAAAAGCGAAGTTCAAACCCCTTTAAAAGGTGTTTTATGATACTGCTTGGTGTGCTCGAAATTTGAAGAAATAAAAGAATATTGGTGTAAATGACTTTCTCTACGAAAGGCTAACCTTTTGTTTCTCGATTATTATATTGGTTTCATGTTGAATCGACGATATATGAACTTGCGCAGCGCCTTAAACAACAAAATATGGAGCAGGTCCGCATAGCAGAGGTCGTGTTGCGTCACTATAGTCACGACTCAGTATCTAACAATTCATCTATAATACAAATGATTCACTTTGAATAGATTTTTTTCTTTACATTGTTATGCGTGTAGGAAAGTTTATAGCCTGCGTAGACGAGGGACTTTAGTCCGTGGAGGACGAAAGTACCTGAATCGTGAAAAAAATGTCTGCAGAGGACTTGTCACGGATTCAACTGAACGCATATGGTGTGCGGACATTTTGGACGTTTTGGAAGCAAATATTTAAAGCTTTTCAAAGAGAATACTGTGTCCGATGGTTCATTTAAATCGAATCGAGCGGACAGCGGGTGTGTTGCTGCGCATGATCACATGAGTTCAATGTTTTTCTTTTTTTTCCGCGTACGTTTGTCTTTTCCGAGAGAACTCTACTGTTCCTCTTGTGTGTTAGTCGATGCAATTGTAAGCGGTCTATTTTGACGGACAAAACAGCCTCGAACAAAAGTCCCTCGGGCAATCCATCACTCGTATTTTTTTTTATTTATTACTAGCTCACAAAACAAGTTACAATTATATTAAAAAAAACAAAGCAATTACAATAATAGAAAACCAAACTGTAACTCTAAATATGTGGGCATAACATGATTAAATTTTATGGGTTGAAGTTTACACTAAAGAAAAATATATATAAATCGAATTTCAACAATTAAACAACAAAAAAAATCACTTAAAATAAAAGTAAAATTTGTAAGTAAAATTATTTGTATAATAAGCAGCAAGATAATAAACACAAAAAAATTAAAAGGAAAGTTAATTCGATTAATGAATGAATAAATTAAACAACAAAAATAAGTATAAAAAACAACCAAAAGTCTGGTTGCTTATGGCAACTCAGACATTCTGACAGATACTGTGATCTTAGCTAATAATATAGACATGTTTATTATCC